AGAGCACTGACTTCAGGGAGGACACTATTTCCATACTCACCAGCAGTGTATGGTGTGTTACAGAAAACTGAATAATCCAAAAAAAACTATAAAATGACACAAATATCATTTTGTTACTTATTGCTTTTGTCACTGCACAGAGTTGTAAACTACCAACAGAGATAACATGAAGTCTGATCAAGGAAAACATTCTATTGCCATCTTGATACCAGACAACAATTGACATAGAACTTGATATAAGGCAAAACAGCAAAAAATGCTTTGTGTGGGCTGGATCTACAAGCCACCCCTCTGGGAGAGTCACCATTCAAGTAAGCCTATTGGCTGGATTTTGGTCCATGTGTGGGTCAAGAGGCACCCAGATCCAACAGGTTATAGAAAAGGTAGATTTATATCCTATTGTTAGTACAGCAATTATTTTTAATTCATATTTATCATTTTTTTCTTTTACCTTTTCCTTTGAGTTTGTTAATTGTGACGGGAACCAAAACAGGAATTATTTAGAAAGGTTATGAAAACAATTTTAAAAAGAAACAAAAAATTTATTCAAATCAATCAATAACTCATTGTCACAGCATGCAATAAGTATACATGTATCAATGAATAATTATCTGTAAATATGGCCTCATTTAGATTCTTGAAAATGATAACATAATATGAAGAGAGAAAACTAATGACTCATTATAAGAATTTGTCAAAACAATGTATGTTGAGTGTTGAACCTTTAACCAAATCAAAATGTTGCTACAGCTATGACCTAGAAATCATACACTTTTATATTCTAATATAATAATAATAAATAATAATAATAATAACGATATAATAATAATAATAACGATAATTAAAATATAATAATATTAATAATAATAATAAATAATAATAATAATAATAATAATAATAATAAAAAAAAAAATTACACACATACGTCTTCCAAACAAAATGACAGGAAAAAATCCTAATTGTGAAAACTCTCAAAAGCAATGAGAGCAGAAGCGAAATGATTATTATTTTTTCGTTTTTATTCTTATCTCTGGAACATACAACATCTGAACTGAATGACAAAACACTCTACCATATTGATATAATGGTAGCAAAACCCATCATACACGTAATAGTTTTACTGAATGATGAGACAATTACCGCTTAATTTTTCAATAAACCCATTTCGTGTATTGCAAGTTTCCTACAAACATCTGTATTGCACAACAATTGCACACTTAAAATGAGGTTTCACAAAATCTACAGACAATCTTTTTAAGATACGAAATACTAACCCATAATTGCATATGGCACAGGTAAGTAAGAATTGAAATTTGCAATACATAAATCAGTACATTTCGCTCCAATGCTGATACAACTTTCAATCACCTGTTTATAAAATGGCCATAAAAAAGTACAATTTAATAAGAAAAAGCAAAGCATATCATATAATTCCACAATCTTTCACCCACACCCTTTCCCCTTTAAGCCAAAGTAAAAAAAAAAAAAAAGAAGAAGACGAAGAAATAGAAAGAGAGAAGAAGAAAAAAAACACAAATAACTACAAAGATATTTTTTCAATGGATTCAGCTTTCAAGTTTCATCCTTAATGTTTTATCATATATCAATTAATTCCCAGGTATTACATAACCTTAACTGTAAGTTTGTATTTACATCCTATATTCATATTTCCCCCTTTGTGATGGATTTTAAAATCACTTCCTATAAACAATAATAATACAGGATTTCCTGAAAAACAAAACAAAACATGAATACCTGGTATAAACCCATCACAATATCCATATCAATAGTAACAAAAATGTACAAATATACCTTATTTTACCTAATATCATAAACATTGAAAGCCTATAGAGAATTAAAAACGGTAACAAACATTAAAAAAATCAGCTTTTGCTAAATGCATATTCTACACTTTCAATAAAATCAAAGTGCAAACTTTTCTCACTGTCTTATTTTTTCCTTTCTATTCTTTCAAAGAAAATCTGTTCCTTTTGACAACTTTTGCATTTTGATTTCTCTTCCCTTAAACCCAAATATATACACATCATCATCATCATCTAATCATCTGCTCCATATATCTTCAAACTTTACTCCACCAGCATAACTAAACTCATTCAAATAAAGTGAAACTAAAGACACAAAAAGAAAGAAAGAAAGAAAAGAAAAAAAAAAAAAATCAGAGAACCAAAATATAAAAAGGAGGAAAAAAAAGACAGAAAAAGGATTAATTTAATAATGAAAAAAAGAAAGTAAACCTTATTAAAAAAGGAAAGAAGGAAAAACTTAATAATTTGAATCTGCAAATTAATAAGAAAAAAAAATGAAGTCAAATTGTGAAAACTAAACAAATAAATAAATAAATAGACAAAAATAATCGCTAAATACTAATTCACACTGTGGTTTCTTGCATGATCCTCAGAAGGTTGCCTCTTGCCTGTGTGAGAGCCTTGAATGCCTCCTCTGCGCCGGGTGCTTTGCATTTGTCGGGATGTACAAGAGC